TGTTTCCACTGCGTCTTGAGATGTTGTAATAAATAAATAAATAAATAAATTTATTAATGCGATTAATAGTATAAGTGAAGCGGACATTACAAAATGATGAATGAGAATACATGTATCTTAAATGGTTGTTCCTAATCGATTTTCTTGAGACTATCATCAGGGAAAATCGTCTCACAATAGAGGCTATACGGAGAAACAAACTACTTATAGGTTAATGGATAGTGGGAAGTATACAAGGTGAGGTGTGAAAAAAAACTAAAGTGGGAGAGTAGACGAAAGAAATTAGAAGAAAATATGTGAGAGTGTTCTGACGGTGTGAGCTACTACAAAAGGTGAGTGAAATGAAGGCGTGGAAGCAGGTGAATGTGATAGAGTCTACCTTTTGTAGTAGCTCACACCGTCAGAACACTCTCACATCTTTTCTTCTAATTTCTTTCGTCTTCTCTCCCACTTTAGTTTTTTTTCACACCTCACCTTGTATACTTCCCACTATCCATTAACCTATAAGTAGTTTGTTTCTCCGTATAGCCTCTATTGTGAGACGATTTTCCCTGATGATAGTCTCAAGAAAATCGATTAGGAACAACCATTTTAGATACATGTATTCTCATTCATCATTTTGTAATGTCCGCTTCACTTATACTATTAATCGCATTAATAAAGTTATTGTCCCCTCGTCGCCTTTTAAATAAATAAATAAAAATAAATTGCATGTTTGTTGAAAAAATGTAGCCATATTTGTACTGTGGCATCCTGGTGGTGTATTTCGTAACTGCACTGCATGACACTATTATTTTATGAGAAATGGCAGCGATTGTGAACAATGTACAATCAACAGTATTGGCAAAAATGATGCAGAGCTGTATGGAACTTTGGTACAATGTGCCTGTATATTGGTATTTGAACACAATGCATGAAGCAGAAGAGCATAATAATGTTGACTTGTCAATTTATAGTTAAGACGTGAATATGAAACTCATGACCAATGCCAATAGTCCAATGATGAAGGGTCTGCGCAATGCTGAAGGGCCCAGTCTGCGCAATTACATTGTGTGTGACATTGTATACAAACACTCCCTGTGGCATAATCATGTACTCCGTGCAAATACATGCTTGAGCGGTGATATTTGTTACTGTACATTGTAAAAATCGTGGTGTCATGCTCCTTGGTATGTGTGTGTGTGTGTGTGTGTGTGTGTGTGTGTGTGTGTGTGTGTGTGTGTGTGTGTGTGTGTACACTACACTCTCTGTGTATAGATGCCTATGTGGATATCACCATGCCCATGGCCAACAAGGTCAAACGCTTCCAACTGCCAACAGTAGATTGCCTCATTTCTCCCACCGGGGTGATCCTAGCTTGAAGTGATGTATGATATTGGCTCCCATTTGCCAGCCACTTGCTGGAAGGCAGGCAAATGGAGATTTCGTTGAACACAACCCTACCAATGAAATGAAGGCAACAAGGCAGGAGAGCAGAGACAACAGATGGTAGAGTCACGAGGTGGCTTTGCCGGTGAGGAAGATCCAGCTCAACAAGGCGTTCTTGCAAGTTTGATCAGTACACCGTCCTGGTCCGAATCCTCAATATCAGTGAATCTTACAGATTAATGGCTGCTGCCTTGACTTGTGATGCCTACGATTGGATACAAGCTGCTCGAAGTATGTTTCAAATAGGAGTACATGTATCTTGAACTTAGCATGAGAGGCATCCACTTCGTTTATAACAGCAGAACCTTTGCATGACTGTCATAACACTCTCCTTATTGCAATATTTAGCCAATACTCCATTTTGTTGTAGCAGCTACCACTCCACTACAAGTGTGCATTCATTTCCTGGCTGGCTTGTGTAAAGTTATGAATGCAATCATGTGACGCTTCGTGTACACATGCTCCCATACTTTAGTGCATGTGCGTGCGTGTGGTCAGGTATTGGTGTGTATGTTCGTGCACCTACATGCACATTTAGAAAAGCGATCCTATCAGCTTTTCTATTATTGTGTTCACATGCCAAGAAAAACGACACCGCTATGCTACGTAAGTTTCTACGTAAGGTGCTCGGTATTTCACTTAGGCTACGTAAGTTTCTACGTAAGGTGCTCGGTATTTCACTTAGGCTGCGTAAGTTTCTTCGTAAGGTGCTCGGTATTTCACTTAGGCTTACACTCTCGTCTGTCTACAGAAAGCATGAGCAGGAGAAGAGGAGGAAATACGAGCGGCGAGTTCGGGAGATAAAGATCTCCTCCTTTGTGCCCATTGTCTTCTCCACCACTGGTGGACAGGGAAAAGCCTCATCTGCGCTGTTTGCCAGGATTGCCAGCAAACTGAGCGACAAGCGCAACGAGCCATTTCCCGTCACCATGGCTTTCGTCCGGACCAAACTGTCCTTCAGCCTAGTGAGAGCCATGGTTGCTAGTCTGCGCGGCTACCGGCGTTCTTCAGTGCCACTTCCTGCTCACTCCGCTGTTCTGGCGGCTGCTGAGTGTTCGTTGTGAGCGTATGACACAGCTGTACTGTTGATGTTCATGGAGTTGCTTACCTCTCTTTCTTTTCCTTTCTTTTCTTTGCCTTCTTCTCTCTCTTTGGTAACCATGGCGACCCCGTGTGCTGTACTACTTTTTCTTTTTTTCTCTTTTACGTAATTACTTTATACCAGGTGTGGGCCATCCCCTGTACATACATGTAGGTGCCACCAAAAAAAACAGGAAGTAAAGTTTTTAAAAAAACCCAAAAAGAAGAAAAAATTCACTTAGGCTACGTAAGTTTCTACGTAAGGTGCTCGGTATTTCACTACTCCATGCCTCCTACAATGTAGATCTACCAACGCGTGGGCCATGGGAGCCGCGCGCTAGCTGTGCACGTGCACGGCAGATATTGTGTTGTAGGGCAGTCCGTTTTCGGATGTGCATGCGCGAGAAACGTCCTTCTTTGGAACTGCTTCTTGCATGAGCTGTCTCCTGGCTTATTTCGCTTCGGCTCTGCTGAGACCTCCTTTCACGGAATATTACTCAATGACAGGTGGGTTGACCAGTTCCCTTTGATTATGCTCGCGATATCATGGACTTATGCTTTCATGGATTCTCGCACTGTGCTCGCAAAATCCTCATATTATGCTTTGGCACGCGGTGATACACATTCACGTTGTTGTACTTACGGAGCCTGAACGTTTGGAAAATTGTGCGTTTTTCGTACATGTACTTGCAAGTGGCCATAAGTACAACAAAATACAGGAGTATCACCATACTAGGCCTCGACCAAATATGCTAAAAAAAGAGCATACCGGTAATTATTATGCTCATCACGTATCAGGGAAAACGTCCATAATATGCCAAAGGCTTAGCAAGATATGCAAAAAGATATGCCAAAATATGCTCGACAAAGTGTAGATCATTTCAGTAAAATTACAACCTTGGAATACACGTTTTGATCATCCCGGCCTGGTGGTGAGATTTTGGACCCGGGAGTACTAAAAAGCTGCTCGCATCCCAGGGTGCTCAGTTTCGCTCTACCCGCGCGATTAAGTTTCCAGGTAACGGCCCCTCTTTCGCGGCCTGCCATGCCGAGCATAATATAAATCGTGGCCTGCGCCCTTGGCCGTACGCACTCGGCCTTGATTCAGCCGTAAAGTCCTGCCAGACCTCTATGATTGTCTACTGAAACGTCTCATGTAAACACAGCCTTGTTTGGAGCAGTGCAATCTCGCCGCTACTCACACATAAAACAGCCCAGACACGAGTAAACAAATCCAATCGTACGAGATTTTCACGAGACGAGACTGCACCCATTGGCTTGTTTCGTATGAAGCAAACAAGTCACTGAACCTCTCCACAATGGAGATTTCCCCTGATACATGTTATTCTGCATACTCGGTCAATGCGTCCTTGAACCTTTCCCTACCGATTGAGAACTGCCAGCGATAAAAAAATATTATTATTCCACTGCAAAATTCAGATTCTACCCTATGATCGGGGCACGGAGTGCCGGAAGCAATACCAGTGACCTACTTGTAACGTACAAATGTACAATGAACACGAGAATTTCGACAACACATCTAAGCCTCAGCAACATCATAAGCCTTACCGTAAAGAAGGTGAACTTGCCTTCTTCGCACACTGTGGGCAAGGGCAAAGAGACACGACTGGATCTAAATCCGAATAAAATCAGCACACGTTTCCGTACATGAAAGGGTAAGCATAAGCAAATCATTATCCATATAAAAATCGCTCTGTTAGCGGTTCTGAAAAACCTTTACTGGTACTGCCCCGTCGTAAAAGTAAGAAATTAGAACTGGCCCATTGTCCCCCCAAATGTGAACTGATCCACCTAAATTGCGAATGACGGGACCCGAACGCACCAGTAGCATGAGGTCGGAAGGGCACAGGATCACGGCAATTAGTAGTACAGTAGTAGTAGTAGTAGTAGTAGTAGTAGTAGTAGAATTTATTATTTTGATAGGGAAGCCTACCGCTAGTACAGTACATGGCCTATGGTCCGGGCCAACGTCCCCATCTGCATCCACAGGTAGGAACCTCGTGCTACTGGTGCGTTCGGGTCCCGTCATTCGCGATTTAGGTGGATCAGTTCGCATTTGGGGGGACAATGGGCCAGTTCTAATTTCTTACTTTTACGACGGGGCAGTACCAGTAAAGGTTTTTCAGAACCGCTCACAGAGCGATTTTTATAATGGATAATTTCAGTTCTTTTTCCGTTCCCTCCCCACCCCTACCCCGAAGGTAAACATGATGACCACGCGCGCGATTTACTGTATGTAGCCATGCGACTGCAATAACACACTGATACATACCAGCCCTCCCCGCCTCGCTACCCCGCACACAGATACACAAACATGTGTATGCACACAGCACACACACGTGGCCACGCACACATACGCACATGCACACGACACAAACAGGAAATTCTTCATGTATAATGCCATGCAAAGCAGTGGCCACCGTACTTGAGGAAGTCAGTTGTGAAACAAAAATAATTCAACTACAGCGTGTAGACAAGCTGACGGCCAAAGCACAACATAGCAAACATGACATTTGCCCAAGGATTGCAGTTTGCAGACCATGCCATGGAAGCAGCGAATACAGAATGTAATATCATACAAAGTGACAAGCAAGGACGTTGCCATCATACACCAGAAACTTGCAGAAAGTCACATATCCAACAGATAGAGAAGTGAACAGCAATCTGATACAGCCCACACAGGACAAAGCGGACCTGATACTCCTCCCAGGATCGCAAGTGGCAAACCCTTTTCAATGCATAACATGCAGGTGTACGTTAGACGCATGAACATCTGACCGTGTCGCCAGCATACAATGTCATCACATGTTTACCCCACAAGTTACACACATGCACAGTAGAAGCACAATGAAAGCAATGGAAAAGTACGATGTGGTTGCTGAAGTATCTTCACACTTCAAATTCAGACTTCAATGTGGTCGTCACGGGATGATATACCTGCAAGATACAAGTGATGAAGAAAGAAAGCAGAAGGTCGTGAAGTAGGCTATGATACACTACAAACGGTTCACCTACATGTCTGTTCAGGGCTAGTGCACTCACACGGAGAATTGTCATAATCGAGCATTTCCCAAACTGAGAAGTGCAATGAAATCCACTTCCATGCACAGGAGCAATTTTGCAATAATTATTATGATGCGCAATTCGACACGATCTGCGATGCTGCGTGCGATGTCCCCTGCTGTCATGATAGTGACAGTCACCGCGGTATGTTTTGTCAACGTCGCCCGTGCACTCTTCTGTCAAGTCCAAAGTGCTCACATACTTGGCAATGTTTTTGCAGTGATTAACTTTTATCCTACTTATGTCACGGGTAACTTTAATGAAGTACCCGCAGGCCGTGTCGATCTGCACATCGTCCACTCTCTCATGTACTTGGCCTGCTTTGTCTGTGTATCCATTTCATGTGCGATCCACAAAATCGACTAGACAGTGGGTGCAATACGCTCTCTACCTGAAGACGTTCTTCTGGCGACATCTCGCCATGTATTTGGCCTGGCTTTGTCTGTGTATCCATTTCATGTTCGATCAACAAAATCTCAATGCACTACAGAGACTAGACAGTGGGTGCAATACGCTCTCTATCTGAAGACGTGAACCATTAATTTTTTTGGAAAAGTTATACGTACACCTGAAACGTAATGAAGTACAGGAATAGAGAGAGTGACTACAATACGCTCTCGACCTGATATAGTGATAACGTGAGTACAAGACACTCTCCACCCGATAACGTGTTAGAAGGTAACATGTCTACAGTCCCACCGTACCCTTCCGACACGACTGTGGACCATTACATTTTTTTGAGAAGTTATACGTACACTTTAAACGTAATGAAGTACAGGAATAGAGAGAGTGACTACAATACGCTCTCGACCTGATAACATGAGTACAAGACACTCTCCACCTGATAACGTGTTAGTAGAAGGTAACAGGTCTACAGTCCCACCGTACCCTTCATCATTCCTCATTCACCATCGCGCGATACCCTGGCGCACCATGGCAACATATCAATGGGGTGCCTTACCGTCGTCTAGAGGAGACGTCTTCGCAGCAATATTTTCCCTCCTGCGCATTCAGTCGCCGACGCGACAGCGTTCACGGGGCCGTTCCAGTTGCGGAAGACAATCGATTCATCGGACCAATTCAGAAACAGGGGCCGTGGACACACAGGGGGCAGAGGAGAGACATTGTTAGTGGACAAGAAATATGCAGTGGCAAGTGGCGAGTGCCGCATGGGTGTCAAGTTGTCATGCACAATTCAGCTATTACTTACGGTCCAGCTAGTCCTGCCATTGCTCGCTCGTCCTGGTTCCTCCTCGTTCGTCTTCCTGCACGTCTGCACTTCTCCTTCCCCACCGTTGGCTTTGCGGTACGGGGGTGCCGGAAGGAATTCCCACCATGTATCCATGTACATGAAGTCCCACCATGACTCTCCATGTACATGTCCACGGCCACGTCAGCAGTTTGTATAGTACCGGAAGGAGTTCCCACGATGTCTCCAAAGGCCTAGAGCGGACGTCTTTGCAGCAATTCTTTTCGCCCTGCGCATTCAGTTCGCCGACGATGGCTCCAAAGGCAAAGGCCTAGAGCCTAGTAGAGGGGACGTCTTTGCAGCAATTTTTTTCACCCTAGTACCATGCACATTCACTCCTCCGACACGACAGCGTTTACGGGCCGTTCCAGGTGCAAAAGGTCCACGTCAGCAGTTCTCAACTATTTCACGTACGGGATAGTCGCCGCGACAGCGTTTAAGGGGTCGTTCCAGGTGCAAAAGGTATCCATCAATGGCACTTTGCAGTATCGGGTACAGAAAAGGGGCCTCCACGTTCGACTTCGTCGACTTCTGCAGTTCTCCTTCCCGTCAGGGGTACCGAAAGGGGCCTCCTCGCAGTTGTCTTTGCCGTCAGGTCCACGTCATGCAGTTCTCAACTATTTCGCGTACGGGATAGTCGTCTTTGTCGTACGTGACATCGGCGTTTACCGAGTGGCATTGGCACAAAGCAGACCGTTGACAGGGTCACGCGTCAAAAAAGTATCAACAACGTGTCGGCTAAGTGTCGACCACGTGTACACTCAGCGGTACACTAATTCTCGTGCCATTCTCGTGTCACAAAACTGGAACATCGAGTACCAGTATGGAAAGGCTTCAGACAGGAAGCCTTTCCAATTAATGAATCGAAGGAAACCAGTCACCTCAGAGATCACCTGTCATCGAGTATTCCGTAAAAGGAGGCCTCGGCAGCGGAAAAGCTAAATTTAGAAAAGAGATCCTGTCAGTTTTTCCATATTTATTGCATTACACCCAAAATCAGCACTCTTTTCGTAAATGAAAGAGTCAACACAAGCAAATGAATCAAAGGGAACTGGTCAACTCACCTGTCATTGAGTAATATTCCGCGAAAGGAGGTCTCAGCAGCGCCGAAACGAAATCAGCCAGGCCAGGAGACGAAATTTCCGAAACAGCTCATGCAAAAAGCAGTTCCAAAGAAGGAAGTTCCTCTGCATGCAACACAATGTCTGCCGTGCACGTGCACAGCACACGGCTACCAAGCGTTGGTAGATCTAATACCGAGCGCACAACGTACCTTACGTAGAGACGTACGTAGCCTATGTGAAATACCGAGCACTTAGGTTTTTTTTTTTTTTTTTAACTCAAACCATGCCTCTTGTACGGGCAAAACATAGAATAAAGACAATCAATGATTAGATCGAGCGCACGCGGTGATGATCATGTACAATGTCATTAATGACACTTGACAGATAATAATAATAATAATAATAATAATAATAATAATAATAATAATAATAATAATAATAATAATTTGAAACTCGGATGTTGAGCCATAAATAAATGTAGAAGAGAAAAGGACATATCGATACGAGTTAAGAGTAACTCTCCATCACTGTAACATGATACTATATACAGTCAGAAAGTGCAATAACTAGGCACAAAACTGACAGAGTACTGAAACATTCGACGTCCTGACACCTAGCCTCAACACATCTCCGTAGCGCTAACCGACAGCCTTCCAACTTGGAAGGTTCAAGGTTATGGAAAGACCAAAGAGGGGAAGGCAAGCGCAACGAAAATGAGCAAAAGCTACAGTCCCAACGGAACAAAGAATGTCGATTGTTACTGGACGATGAAGAGACCAGTACGATATTTGACAAAGCGGTCTAACTACAATTCGAAGCAGCAAAGCAGCACACCACCCAACTTGGGTGGGTCATAAATATCAAAGATAAATGAAGAAAGGGAAGCTTTGCGAAAACGAATTGTACAAGCCGAAAGCCAAACTCCTACAGTACTCCTCATGCATGACATTGTGATGGACTAGTTGACTACAAAACAAGTTGTTTCACACGACGTACGTTTCGCCGTATGGTTCGTGACGGCTCATCAGGTGTGCAATTTGAAACTCGGATGTTGAGCCATAAATAAATGTAGAAGAGAAAAGGACATATCGATACGAGTTAAGAGTAACTCTCCATCACTGTAACATGATACTATATACAGTCAGAAAGTGCAATAACTAGGCACAAAACTGACAGAGTACTGAAACATTCGACGTCCTGACACCTAGCCTCAACACATCTCCGTAGCGCTAACCGACAGCCTTCCAACTTGGAAGGTTCAAGGTTATGGAAAGACCAAAGAGGGGAAGGCAAGCGCAACGAAAATGAGCAAAAGCTACAGTCCCAACGGAACAAAGAATGTCGATTGTTACTGGACGATGAAGAGACCAGTACGATATTTGACAAAGCGGTCTAACTACAATTCGAAGCAGCAAAGCAGCACACCACCCAACTTGGGTGGGTCATAAATATCAAAGATAAATGAAGAAAGGGAAGCTTTGCGAAAACGAATTCTACATTTATTTATGGCTCAACATCCGAGTTTCAAATTGCACACCTGATGAGCCGTCACGAACCATACGGCGAAACGTACGTCGTGTGAAACAACTTGTTTTGTAGTCAACTAGTCCATCACAATGTCATGCATGAGGAGTACTGTAGGAGTTTGGCTTTCGGCTTGTACAATTCGTTTTCGCAAAGCTTCCCTTTCTTCATTTATCTTTGATATTTATGACCCACCCAAGTTGGGTGGTGTGCTGCTTTGCTGCTTCGAATTGTAGTTAGACCGCTTTGTCAAATATCGTACTGGTCTCTTCATCGTCCAGTAACAATCGACATTCTTTGTTCCGTTGGGACTGTAGCTTTTGCTCATTTTCGTTGCGCTTGCCTTCCCCTCTTTGGTCTTTCCATAACCTTGAACCTTCCAAGTTGGAAGGCTGTCGGTTAGCGCTACGGAGATGTGTTGAGGCTAGGTGTCAGGACGTCGAATGTTTCAGTACTCTGTCAGTTTTGTGCCTAGTTATTGCACTTTCTGACTGTATATAGTATCATGTTACAGTGATGGAGAGTTACTCTTAACTCGTATCGATATGTCCTTTTCTCTTCTACATTTATTTATGGCTCAACATCCGAGTTTCAAATTGCACACCTGATGAGCCGTCACGAACCATACGGCGAAACGTACGTCGTGTGAAACAACTTGTTTTGTAGTCAACTAGTCCATCACAATGTCATGCATGAGGAGTACTGTAGGAGTTTGGCTTTCGGCTTGTACAATTCGTTTTCGCAAAGCTTCCCTTTCTTCATTTATCTTTGATATTTATGACCCACCCAAGTTGGGTGGTGTGCTGCTTTGCTGCTTCGAATTGTAGTTAGACCGCTTTGTCAAATATCGTACTGGTCTCTTCATCGTCCAGTAACAATCGACATTCTTTGTTCCGTTGGGACTGTAGCTTTTGCTCATTTTCGTTGCGCTTGCCTTCCCCTCTTTGGTCTTTCCATAACCTTGAACCTTCCAAGTTGGAAGGCTGTCGGTTAGCGCTACGGAGATGTGTTGAGGCTAGGTGTCAGGACGTCGAATGTTTCAGTACTCTGTCAGTTTTGTGCCTAGTTATTGCACTTTCTGACTGTATATAGTATCATGTTACAGTGATGGAGAGTTACTCTTAACTCGTATCGATATGTCCTTTTCTCTTCTACAATAATAATAATGTAAGCCTCAACCTGAGATTCTTGCTTCAGCAATAACAAGCGCTGCCGAGTCTGAGGCCATTGCTGGTAAGAATGCCTTGCGTGCACCACGCAAGCACATCAGCGCTGAACGGACCAGTGCAAAGCCAATCTGGCAGCGGATGGCAGCTAGGGTGATGCTGTATGGCTCCCCAGTCTTGGCAGCGAGGAGAGAGGCGATGCGTTTGTAGAGCGAAGCACCATGCTTTCCCATGCCTCCGGTGGTAGAGAAGATGGCGGGGACAAAGCTGGAATGCTCCACCTCCCTCAGGCGCTGCTCATACGCACGACGCTTAGCCTTTTCATGACGGACATAGGTAGCAGCAAGTGAGTTGGAACGGTTCGGAGACGCATGGGGGTTGAATACCCGTACATCAATGTAGGTGCGTTCGAACTGTCCTCCCCAAATGCCACTAGCCACGACGTCTAGGCGTGCCTGGTCGTCAGCAATAGCAGTGCGATAACGGAGTTGCTCTCCGGAGAGTGGCTGGAGGTGTGGCTCAACTGCCACCTGATGGGCCACCCGCCTGAGCAGACGAGCAGTGAGGTCCCTCACCTCGTTGTGACGAATGGACGGAAATCCACCAGTCGGACACGAGACGGAGTGAGACACAGTGAACTGCTGCCCACACGCACACAGTGATGGTAGCCGGACCGGCAGCCAGTTGAAGCGAAGGCAAACAGCATCCCGAAACTCCGACTTCGTCAGGGTGAAGCCATGGCGTTGAAGGGGTCGGCACGTGAGCCAGCTTGAGGCACCCGGTTCCGAAGCTAGAGCGATCACTCGCTGCAGCTCTGAACTGGCGGAGGAAGAGAAGGCCTGGGCTGCTGCGCGAATTGACTGCGATGGACCAAACAAATACCTCAACTCAATATCAAGTCAACTTTCTCGCAGCAAACGGCCGTTGTGACGTGTTTCCCTTACGCAAAGCGAAGTGTGAATGAGGCGTTACTCTACATATCCAAAACTGTAAACCAGTGAAGACTACTGCTTAGAAGAAGGTATTATAATGTTGTGCATTGTACTTGCCAAATGTGTGTGATACTCTATGTAACATACATGTAGATAGGGCCAAGCAAGCACAGCAAGTTCTGAATTTTAGGTATTTGGAGGTCGTGAACAGATCAGATTTGTCTTGTAAGTGATAGGTATTGCTTACCTCTATATGTTGCCGCTTTCGTGCTGGCCGAAAACGCTGCGTGCTCTGGCGATAATTCAGCTGGAAATTAGGTGCATAAAAATGCCATTTTCAGCTTCGTTCACAACATTTTCGATATGCGTCTCCTCTACGAAACTTCACTACAAATATATCTGCCGAAAGAGCGTCCCGCCAAGAATACATGGTGTGAAATAAAACAAGGTGGTGAACAGTAAAACGACGTAGGCCATGTAATGTTTTGAAGTTTTTGGGGACGGTTGGCGGTTTTCGTGCTCTGA